CATTAGTAGGAATCTTTCAAACTTTTAAGCATATGGTATTATAGAGCACTGCTCATTCTCTGTCTCTTCGATCTCTCTCTTCCTTTAGATCATTTCATTTCTCCCACCCTCTGTTTCTCCTTTTTCCTGCTGTAATCCCTTGTTTTTCCTCATCTCATTTGCATTTCTCTCTGTCTACCTCTGTGTAGCTCCATGTATGTTTCCATTTGGATTTATCAGGACGTCCAGCTCTTCATGAGCGATCTGTCAGTTTTTTAGTCTGTTTAAACTCGACGTGTCCTGTGTGGGCAGCGAGTCAGACTGAGAGCTGAGATCAGCCGCTGTCACTCTGCCCACACTGAAAATGTCTTATGTAAACACCATCCACTCCATCCCTCCCCGACAAGAGATTAATATTTGCATAAATGCATATTATGAAAAGGAGGAGAGTAAAATTTACACATTAGCTAGATTCTTAGGAATTTTTAAGTTGCTATGGAACAGCTTACCTCTCAATTAAGGGGTTCTCCCTCTGTGGAGTCCACATGTTTCTCTCAGGCTTTTGACTAACCCTTGACTGAGTCTTTAACTTATTTCTTTTTGCCAAAGGGTTTGTTTTGTGGACTCATCTTAACCTTATTGGTTGGCTCTTACTATTCTTTCAATTAGTTTTTATCTTCTCTCCATTTTTGTTTTATTTGCGTTTACTATTATTTTCGTGCATGAATACTTTATAAATCAAGCTGTTTTCTTTGTCTGCTTCTGCTGCCTGTTTGTTGTTGGGTCTTTTTTCAACTTAATGCTTATTATGTTGGCTTTTGCTTGTGGAGCTATCTCTAAGTACACTTTATGGTTTATACACTAAATCAGTTGTTTCTGCTTAAATTAAAAGTTGTAGCGATTGTAAGAATGACACTTCTTTTGCCAAAAAATCATTAGCATCAGTTATTTAACTGATGTGTTTCATCAGTTTCTTTCACGCGCAAACACATGCACGCACGCAGGCACGCACACAATCTGATAAATCACTTGTCCTCACACAAGCTCATATAACATACTTTTCAGTCGGGTTACACCACAAGATGCACTTAACTGTTCTCACTTATCGGCTCCCTAGAGGCACATCCAGTGGAGTAAAGCAAAGACACTTGTGCTGCAGGGCCTCAGTGCTGGAGGAGAAATTGACTCGGGGGGTGTGTTTGGTTTTCTGTGTTTTTTAAGAATTTGAGCTCCACAGTGTAGTTTCTGCTCATAAATATTTCACAGGACGCACACGTATGATCAAAACCAATGTGTCGATTGCATTGTTATGAATATTAGGAGGGAACAGCTAAATATTCTCACTCTGCTCCTTCCCTCATTAGAGCTTCTCAAATGTAAACAGAAGTGATTTCAAATGTTTCCTCATTATTAATATTTTATTCTATGTCCTGGTAATGTTTTTTTAAAAGATTCACTTGGAATCCAATCTTTAAAATGCTCTTTAAATGCTTTTCTACATTGAAGATTTAATCACCTTTGATTTGGTTCAAGGATTTCATCATTTTTTTTCTCATCTGTTTTTATGATGGTTTGTTCCTGTTTTTAGTCCATGTGTTCTAATATATTTCTCAAGACATAAAGGACATTTATCTGCATTTATAAATGAATGGCTTGTCCATTTATGAATCTGCTGCTTGTGTGACAAGTGGAAAGGAATAGAAAGTGTTCAGTAAAAGATATGTAGCGAATACTGGGCAAGTATGACATTATATTATGTTATCCATACTTTGTTTAAATGTTCATATGCATTTGTATGGATTCATTTTAAACCCATAAAAAGACAATACATACATTTACAGCTCCATGTGAAACTGTGATTGTCTCAGTATCAACAGACTTCATCTTTGTCTTTGTTGTCATGATAAAGCCAGGACAACGGGACACCTTTCGCACATGGTTTTGTTTACTGACATTATGTAAGCGCAGTGTGTCTTTGTGTGTGTATGTGTGTGTCTGTGTGTGTCTGTGTGTGTCTGTGTGTGTCTGTGTGTGTTTATAAGATACATGATACTGACCATACTGGGAAGAACACATTGTACTTTGACCCCCGCTGACTCATGTCCTGTTAGATTGAATGACTTGACATTATTATGACATTATTACGTCTCCTCTGCCTCTACTCAGATATCACCACAGAGACTGAGAGATATATTATACCACAGATCTGAATGTCAGGATTAACATTTACATAACGTGTTTCACAATTTGACACATGGATGACTTCAGACTTTAGTTTGGAAAGGTTTTTAGTTTGGCACACGTACTCTTTGCTCAGTGTTTAAATGTTATCTGCTCCTCTGCTTTTTTATGATCTTGTTTTTGGCCTCAAATATATATCTCAACATTGCTAAAGCAATTAAATACTGCCAGTCACAGCTGGGGGCCAAACAAACTAAATGTAATAAAGTTCCATATTAGAATAAACAAAGCTAGAGTAAAGAATATCATAAAATCCAACAGCATTGTGCTGAGTTTATT